ATTGGAAAGGAAAGCAATTTTTGCAGATTTGAAAGAAGCGAAGATGACAATGCAAGGTGTTTTAAGCAGAAGACTTGGAAATACTTAGAGTTGTGAAAGTTCCAAATGAAGAGGCTCAAGAGTATTTATAGTCTTCAGAAAGAGATATGTCTCGTCAAAGCCATTTAATGCTATGAAGATAGTGGGGCACGTGGCGGAGCATGAAGCGGTTACCAGGCAGATGATGGGAAACGTTTTGACATGCTTGCCTAGGTTCTAGGAATATGGTCATCATGGCAGCGTGGTAATGGCAGTTTGAAAATACATCTTGGAAAAAAAGTAATGATGGGTTTTCGAAAGCAGCAGTTGTTGGAAGACGAAAAGCGCATGTCAAGCCTTTGAAGACAGTAAGAGAGACCGGTGTCGAACAGAAAGATCAAAGAATGGCTATTTCTTTTGGCGTCGAAATAGACATTCTTGGGAGGCAATTTGTTGGCTCCTGAATTTGACACCTACTATATTTGGTCTTTTAGACCAAAACTGAAATAAATAAAGTCAAGTTGAAGAGTGTTTCGACGTGTGAAATAATTTAGAGAAAATATCTAAGTTATATTTTAGTCTTCGACCAGGACTCACTATCAAGAGTTCGACTGAGAAGGCCCCATGACCTTCGACTAGAAGAGAATATCCTCGCGTCGACACCAAAGGCGAGAGATATTTGAATTTTGAATTATTGGAGGGAAAGACGGTTTCACCAGTGGCCAAGGGAAAGCAACGTGGCTGGAGGCTAGAGATCGAGGGGCGTGCAGAGAACACTTGTCCTCATCTTAGCGCAGAACCACCTCTCGACGGTTACATAGATTTTAGTATAAAATAGGAAATCTATGTAGTTTTTCTGTGTGTTCAACCTATTGTGCTAGTTACTCAAATACTGTCCAAGTACCCGCTGTGTGAGAAAGGATAAACTGAGAAATGTACGTTGGGAACACTTCTTTTCATTAATAAAAGTCTTTTACATTGCTTTAGTCTTATTCTGCAAAGTTACTTTTCCTGCATCTTTACCTGCATTTCTACATTTCTACTTACTTTATTACTTTCCAAAACCACAAGTATTTTGTCTTTGGTCGAACGTGCGTTCTTCTTTGATTCATTTTCTTACTTACATCGCAAGTAATCAAAAGGATTTTCCTTTTTAGAAGATCAGTGGTTGTTTACTAAAAACCACGGTAAACAATAATCATACTCTTTTTTTTTAAACTGTTTTTTAAAATAGATTTACAAAATAATTTTTAAAAATTAAAATTTTAAAAACTAAAATTCTCTTCCTACTCGTGCTATGCTTCATAGACAATGTATGTCTGCAGCCTCAACTTGTCCTCGGTGTCAATATCTGGTTGAAGATATTCTCCATTATCTACGTGATTGTAACCTCTCGATTCAGCTTTGGCATTATCTTGGTGTCGAATATTTATACTTGGCTCCGGCAAGGTTTCTCTCAGGAGGATCATTCTTTTGTTCATTTCGGCAGTTTGGTGGTTGTAGAGGGCACGCAACACTATAGTCATTGCTAACAAAGATTTCTCCATTTCTACTTTACAATACAGGACCCATAATTATGTGTCTTTGGTTAGTATTTGTAAACAAGCCGTTGTTAGCAATGTCTACGCGTCTATTATAGCTACTTTGATGAAGCGACCTTGACAGTTTTCTTTGGTTCACACTCTTCGGGAAAGAAACATGTGTGCTGATATTTTGGTCAAGATGGGATCATCGATTGTTCAACCTATGCTTCTGATTGAGCTTCCATCTCCTAACCGCCTTCTTCCTTTGCAGGCTGATGTTAGACGGATAGAGATCTTGCGTCCTTAGTTTCTTTTTTTCTTTCTGGTTTTGTTTCTTTTCCATTCACTTGCTAAAAAAACTAAAATTAAAACTCATTCAATTCAAACATATCCTATATATTTTGGGTCGGCCACTGTCGTAAAATAGAAAGTTTAGATTCATTCGACAGATAAAGAAACATGTCTCCTCGTATTAACTACTAATACATTAACCGCCATCAGATTTGATCGGACGGCTCTCCACGTTTTATGTTGGATTAAACATTAGGAGGTTTAATTGCATGTCATATATATGTCTGATGACGTGTCATTTCAGATAATTATGACACTCTTAAACTAAATCTCTCTCAATTCATTAACTTAGCGTGATAACCTTGTCTATCTTTTATGTTCTGTCACACCAAAGAGGTCCAAAATCTTGTTTTCCGACATGGGTGATAAAGATTAACGAGATTAACACACATGGTCGCATCCATGTTGTTGGTTAACTCTACATGGTTGTTACTTCACGTGAGACTAGAACTTCTAACAAAATCACAATATGGACAAAGCAACCCCTCTATTGTTGATTTGACAGGGTTTTTCTAAACTAGCATTGCTATCATATAATTGTTTCTGATATTATTTTAGAAACCGTTATAATATATCAGAAGATGGTAAATGTTTCAAAATAGTTTGATTGTTTGAGAATCAAAGTTAAAAGAAGATTATATACAACAATCATACTATTCAATTCAATAAACATTTTTTAAGAACAAAATTGTGGTGGGTTCTTGCTGAAATTCAGTGACAAATATATTTTTTGATATTTTGTTGTATTTTAGATTTTTTTTTATTGTATTTTTTATTTATTCTTTTATCGTAGTCGATGTAATCTCATAGTTATCCATAATTCTCACTTAGTTTGAAACTATTCAATTATATATACATGAATCACAAGTTAGAAGAGTTATTTTTTAAACTTGATTCGAGTCACAATTTTTTCTGATTTGATTCAAATCATAAGTAAATTTAAAATTTGGTATTAAATGACTTGATTTGATTCAAGATCTTGTTTGACTCGAATCAAAAAGATATCTTGATTCGAGTCACATTCATGGTTGACTCGAATCACAAATGAACTCAAAACTAGGAACTTAAGCCTTGAGTCACAATCTTGTCTAACTCAAATCACATGATTCAAGTCATGAATCGAATTAAAGTTGTTAAATTCTAATTTTATCATTGTGATTCAAGTCACTCTTTCATTTAATTCAAATCCGTTATTTTGGATTTTGACTTGAATCGTACAGCATGTTTTTCACCTATTTTGTGTCAAATATCTAGTGCATACAATAAGCAAGATTTTCTCTCTTTTGAATAACAATTCACTTTTGCAAAAATCACTCATCTTTGAAAGAGTTTTTGCATTCTCTCACAATCTTTGAAAAATCAATAAAAAATTGTCAATCACACAAACTTTCTTTCAAATCATCTTGAAGAAAACTTATTTAGTGAGTTGATTTCTTGAGTGTAAACAAATTGTGTGTGAGATTTTTTCAAAAAGCTTCTTCATCTTCAATCTTTAGTCAAAAATACATTGTTGTGGTTGCTCAACTCTAAGTGAAAGTGTGAGTGATGGTTGTAAAATACATTAGAGACTGATGTTTTTGTAAAGTTTGATTGTGTTTTTGTATATAAGAATCGAGATTGTGTTTTTGTATATAAGAATCGAATTGTACTTCTGAATTCTAGAGATTGATATCCGATGAAGAAAAATAATACTTTCTTCTGCAATTCTTCTCCAAAAGAATTTCGATAGGATTGAGTTAAGATTGTTGCGCACGAAATCTTGGAGTGCTTTGTTTCTGATAGTGATTGGTTCAAAAATGAGTGAAGATCTTGAGAAATTTGTAGTCTAGAAAAATCAACAAAAGAAAAATCCACCAACAAATTTTCAATTGTTTGTCATTGCAAACTGAACTATGTGCAATCAAGGACAACTCATCGAACTATTATAAACTCAACAAAATGTTTTTCAATTTCTAGAATTTTATGTATAGGTTTAATTGCTTATAAAGATTTAAACTTTATGCTTAAGTCTAAGTTAGATCTTATCTGGTAAACATTCTTTCTGGAGATTATGATGAAAATTTCTAATTGTAGATTGTTCTACTAATTAATCGAATTTAGTACATGCATTCCGTTTGGATTAAATTAGATTAATTGTCTGTTTGATTGATTATTTATTTATCATTATTGTATTCATTTGTACACATACTCAATTGAGTAATTCAATTTGTAAAACTCCTACAAACTTCTGCTCCCGCACATTTTCTTAACTCTAAATTTTTTAAAATCTTTTTGGAAACGATTTTTGGGAAAGGTCTATAAGAGGACACGCCTCAAACTCCTTTAGCACCGACTACAGACTCATGCTCGAGGGACTGCATATATCCTCCCAACCAGCTCCTTGATCGTACTCGATTCAGACATGGGGAGACCTTTGGAGTTTGGATCATACATTCTATTCTAATCAACCTATTTTCTCATCTACAGCTTCCTTTTGGATAAAATATAAATATTCTCATGCAAACATACCATTCTTTGAGAAGACAATCTTGCTCCCTTAATGGGTGAATCCTGGATCAGTATTAGTCTCTACTGGGAACAATTTGGTTTAAATGGTGAGCTGATAATAAGAGGTAGACAGGTCACATTGGTTGTGATTGATCCTAAGCTCTACATCAGATGTAACATGTCAATTTCTTCGACAGAGCTTATGACAAACCAAACAAAGACTAGTTTTCAAGCACTCATGCAACAATATAAGCTATTAAGCTATGCACAAAAGACAGTTTGATTGGAATAAATACACCAACGAATAAATTTCAGGTCTCTGTCCGGCAGGTATAATAATGTTCATATATACAATGACCAAGATATTTGTCAAAACCTGCCTAAAAAAAACTCCAACCGGAGATTATGAATGGATCAAAACTAGATAAATAATTAATCTAATAAATTATAACACAAGCAGACCCCTCTAGAACTTTGATGTACACAAATAAATAACTCGGAACTATGACCAACCAATCATACTGCCCATTCAACAAAACGAGATCTAGATTGAAGTGGTGGTACCTTGGACTACAGTTGACAACATTACTGAAAATGATCAGCAAATGAGACCCCTGTCGTTCACAGGCCAACCCACTTCACCCATCTGAAAATCCGACCAACTCTCAATGGCAACCCATAGTCTTTGGTAACAGCAGGATCTCTTCTAGCAACATCAGGTTCCGACCAAACGTATACCCCACGTTCTTGCTTACTGCCAGGTACAGTATTATCCAAGATAAAAGCAACGAGAAAAGCGATCACCATGTGCAGCGAAAATATCGTGTTCAGAATATAGTTCAACTGCAAAAGAAATATATCCACAAGTGCTTTATATTGACTTGTCAACCAACAGTGCATACATTTATCAGTTAAAAATGGAACTAAGGAGCCTATAGTATTATAAAACTAACTGCTAAAATTAACAAGGGAACCACGAGTTTAAGATGACTATCAGTGTAAATTTATCAGCAAGTCCACTGCATCATGAATTCATTATGTAATATTACCATGTATACATCTACTTAACACAATCATCGATAAGCAGTAGCTGGTTACTAGTTTAGCAACCCTGAAACAACATGCAGGATGCTATCTAAAAGGCACTTATACAAGCAGAAATCTTATTGAAAAGCAAAGAGTAGTTGACAGTTTATCTTAAAGCATGTGTACGTTAGCAACAACAAACTTCACTATTGAATATGAGGGTGGTTTGGTTTTTATTCATTTACAAAATGATGGAAATAGACATGCATATGCCATGATGCAGTTTTCATAGGCACGCACCTACCCTAACCAATGGAAGTGTGTTGTTACTTTTTGTAAATTTATGCAAGAGTTATCTATGAAGCATGAACACTCCTGGATATAGAAGTGTCCATGTGTCAGACTCGGATCGCACACCAACCACCCTTCGTCATCCAAACGACACGTGCCAGACTCCTCGGCAAGATTTCCCAAAAAAAAACACTTTAGATTTCCTTCGACACACTGCCAACACTTCTTTGACACTCAAGACAAGTAGTCCAGTACACAACTACAATGAGAATAACAAACCTTTTTTTTGTAAGAACTAGAAACAAAAGGCTTTTTTAAAGTAATATAATAGTACTCTAATTGGGCATTTTAAAAGGTTCTCAACTCTTCTTTCATACACACACAATCATCTCTTCCCTTCATCTTACTTTCACAGCTTCCTTTTTCTGGTCTCATATTTCATCTGTTATGCTCTTCATCTCATTTGGCGGTCCATCTTGATTTTCAATTTAGATATTTTTATAAATGAAGCTCATATCTAATTTTATGTAATATTCTTATATATATTTCCATGTTGGTGTCCAATATTTTGGACATAAACAGTGTTGATGTGTTTGTATTGTGTCCGGTGTTCATGCCAGTCTTGGTGTTTCACAAGTGTTATAGAAATTAGCAAATTCCAACACAGAATTTGAAGACATCCAAATCAAGCATAAGATTCACAATAGTAAATGAAATAACATAGAAGCATACCCCTCCATATTTGCTTTGGAAAGGCCCGTGAGAAGCCACAATGTAAGGCTGAAAATAACTTGGCACTGACATGTTGGAATTCGGAGAGATGCCATATTGTTGAAAATATGCAGGTATGGAAAGAGAGAAGAACAGTGATAATCCAATTATGATGATATTGCGAGAGCTTCCAGCCTCACTATAACGTAGATTCGACAAGCCCAATGCTGTAAGCATTGCCCACATAAAGCATAGGAGACCAGCAACCATGACTGCAGGAATTGAAGCAATGAACCCTCCAACCTTCCCTGTTATATAGTAAAATTAAACATGGTGTACTTACAAAATAAAAAATCTATAGATGAGAGAATGAAGAAAACATAAATGTGCGTCACAAAAGAAGCCAGCAAACTGCAATAAATTAATGAAGGCATAAATTGAATATCCTAATATCCAATGATTCTTCATCAAGTTCTAAAAACCTAACCGGTGCAAGAGTCCCACATTGGATATGATATGGTATGAACGAGTGTTTATAAGTGGGGACGGCAATTATCATCTTACAAGCTGGTTTTTAAAGGTTAATTTAGACTCAACCCAAAATCTTTGATGGTATCAGAGCCTAGCCTTCGCCAAAAACCCCAACCGAACTCCTCACAAGACTAAATGAATATCATAAGATTGAGTTGAGTCATATAAGGCTTCGCCAATGTAAGACATCAGAAATTTACAACGAATTGCAAAAAAAAATATCATAGGTAAGTAGCGAGTAACTGCATGACCATTTTTTTTAAAAGTTGGCCACTGGTTCTAAACTATAACACATAACAGTGGAAAGTCCTGCGTAAGACCTTTGAATCTACAACATGTAATTTGTAATAATTCTACAAAGACCAGTCATGACAAAGTTTTGACCTTGTAGGAAGTTAATGATTGTCCATATAGGCTTTTTAAGAACAAATATCTCATTCTAAGAGTTGGAGGAAACTAATAGGACTAGCAAGTTGTAACAAAAGGTACCAAATAGATCAAGAGTAAAAATCCGTGTATAGAATTGGCTGATAATACAAGAGAAGATAATCGAATAACAAGACAGACTTGAATACTTTCGCTACAAGTAGAACCTTGAAATTCAAAAATAAAATGTTGGATTGAAATTCTATTTTGAAAGAACTGACATAGACTTGGGAAGCCTATAAAAAAAGGGCACAAGCATCACATAACATGACAGACTATCAGAAGACATGGACCCAATTGGACTGACAAAGGTAGATGCAAATGCAACAACAGAATGATAATTAGATACTTACCCACGAGAGATAACACTATCAGAAGACATGCACCCAATTGAACTGCTCCGCGGCTTCCCATTTTAGTCACAGCAATTGTATGAACATTTTCAGTTAAAGTTGCAGATCCAGTTCCAGTACCCCATAGACCAGCCAACACACTACAAAGACCTTCCATACCAATTCCGCGACTAAGAACCCCGGGAGTTGGAGGTCTGGATGCTACCAATAATGAAGATGCGTGATATGAGCCAACCTACAAAGTTAAAACAAATGAATATCAACAACACAGTACAGTTATTATATAATCCTGCACACAGAGGGAGAAGGAGAGAGTGATGATATAGCTAAGCTTTTTAATATAGATCAGTAAATTCTACTATTTGACTGATATAGACAATATCTTTAAAAACTGGCTCGGACAGCGGGTTGAACAGGGAGCTGGAGGGGTAACCGGTCGGAGCTGGCTATTGGATTGGCCATGTAATCAAACCGGTGGGAACCAGCGTAAACCGGTCAAAACCAGAAGAACCAATGAACCCGGTGGTTTTGTAAACGGAGGGTTAATGCTCGTTCTTTTTTTTTTATTCTTAAAAGTCAAAACAACGCCGTTTAATAAAAAATAAAGAAAAAAACTAACAAAACTTCAAAATAGAAAATAGATTCTAGAAACTGAAATTTAGGGCATAGTAAAAAATAAAAATCTCACCAATCATGCTTTTACCTCTGTTCAAGAAAGAAAATTTAAAAAAAATTAATTGACATGGAAATTTATTTAATCTAGGATATTTTTGACATTTTTTAGGTGTCATAGTTATTTAGAGCTTTTAGAGACCAGGTATTCTGGTTATAAACCCGATTTAATACTTATGCAACTTTATTACCGAGAGCAATCTATGTGATGAGCCATCCGATTTTATCCAAGTCAGTCATGTGATTCAATGAGTGACTTTTTAGTTCGACCACCGACTCCTTGATCCCATGACTTTGTCGGGTTGATGACAGAGCCGCTTATTAAAACATTGATAACAAATATTATTTGATCAGGTGAAAACAATAAGACGGGTTCAAAACAGGTATTTTTTAAGAAATAAGCTAAAACTTAAGAAGGAATGGGTAAACCAAACCGAATAATTGCATGAATTACCCCCACTCTGTGTATAGTAGGCCGGTTCTCTTATTCCTTGAATTTTGTTGTTAACATCGTCATACTAAATAGCAAAGCTCGTTTTCAAATTTGGATCTGATTGATGAACTATATTCAAGCCCCAGTCTCTTTAGTCTAAAGTTTTTATCTTCAATATCATATGTTATGAGTAACACTGACAGTAGATTTTAAGTAAATATCGTATTCAAATTTCTTAACTCATCATATAAACCATTCATTAAAGATATTGTGTTAGGTGTAAATCATATTTTGATTCAAGTAGACGACCTCACTTAGTGGGATAAGGCTTGGTTGTTGCTGTTGTTGTAAGTCATAATTTTTATTAAGCTTGGAACATTATGTAAGAAAAAGAACAGCTTTTACTTACAATACTGCATTCATATCATAAAGAATGCAAAAGATCCAGCAGATGGTCTTTATTCGATTAAATACAATCAAGTTACTACCAACATATTCAGATTCAAGATAAATAATTGCAATCCAGGAAACAAAATAGAAAGAAATAATAAAAGACAAGAATCTAACCGAATCTACAGATGAGATTAAGGAAACCACACACATCACAACAGCCGTTTTCCAGTTGAAGACAGGAGTACCCCATTGCAATGGATAGGGAAATTTAAACCATGAGGACGATTTCAGTGCACGAGAAGTATCAATTCGACAATGTTTCATCCTTGAAATATGCTTTCTGCAGTGTTCTGAAACCATATTTGAGGCAGGTATGTTTATGTCACACCCTTTGTAGTTGTAGGCTCCAGCTTCAGTCAGCAAGAAAGCAACTGCCCATGTAATTGCCAAACCCAAAGGAACCTGCAAATTAGGTAGCAAAAATAATTGAGAAGGATATAGTAGCATTACACTTTCACGACAGAAATTTATTTTCATTACTGAAGAGTAACTCAGAAGGATATTGTGGTGTTACACTTACTGCATATATAAGAAATATGCGGTGTCCAAAAACAGATAGTTTACGAAGATACTGCAGAAAGCAATAAATAATGAATTGTCAGCACAGTACAATGATCAATACCATAGACAAAGTAGGAACTTGAATTCAAGAAACTTACAAGAGAAAAAACAATAACTACAAATATCTGTATTGCACCAATCTCAAGACATGTGCCAACTAGAGGAAAACCATAACCATAAAATGAAAGTCCAACTGCAGCAATGGTTGGGGATACAACCACAGGATTGATAAACCTGAAATTGACATGAGAAACATATTACTTTTATTTCATACACAAAAGTAATCAAATCATGGTGAGCAATCATTACATGGGGGGTCAAAAATCTAGAGACACTTGTCATTACGGATGAAAAATACAACTTATTTCGGTAGAATAAGTTACTGTGGTTCTGACAGTTAGAGACCTATAACATGTTAATAGTTTAATTCTCACAGGAATCGGACCAACATTAGAATAAGAAATCCATTTGAACGGCCTGAATAGTAAATAAATAGATGGAGGACTATTTCCTCCAGTATTTGGAAGAATCATTAAGGTGGGTTTGGAGGGGAAAACACTCAAAGCAGAGGCCAGATGAACCCAAACACCATCCTTCTCGCTGCTACCAACCTCTAAAACCTAACGCATATAGTTGGTTTCTACTGTAATTAACCTTCCACGACTATTCAATATAATCCATATCAGTTGCTGTGGGTCTATAACATGTAAATAGTTTAATCCTCACGGAAACTGGACCAACATTGGCATAAGAAACTCATTTTTGAACAGTCTGAATACTAGATGAGGACTATTTCCTCCAGTGTTTGGAAGAACCATTAAGGTGGGTTTGGAGTGGATATCACTCGAAGCAGAGGCCAGGAGAACCTAAATACCATCCTCCTCACTGTTACCACCCTCTAAAACCTCCCACATATAGCTGGTTTCTACTGTAACTAATCTTCCACGACTGTTCAACACAACCCAAATAATTTATAAATATTCACTCTAGGCAGCAATATATCATCAGATGTTAACTATGACAGTATTGAATCATTAAGGTGGGTTTGGTGTGGAATACACTCACAGCAGAGGCAGGGGAACCCAAACACCATCCTCCTCACTGCCACCAACCTCTAAAACTTCCCACATTTAGTTGGTTTCTACTGTAACTAATCTTCCACAGCTGTTCTATACAATCCATATAAGTTACTGTGGCTCTGACAGTTAGAGACATAACATGCAAATAGTTTAATCCTCACAGAATTCGGACCAACATTGGCATAAGAAATCCAGTTTGAGCACAGTTTGGATACTAGATGGATGGGGGAGGAGGACTATTTCCTCCAGTGTTTGGAAGAATCATTAAGGTGGTTTGAACTTTGAAATGGAAAACACTCAAAGCAGAGGCCAGGGGAACCTAAAAAGCACCATCCTCCTCACTCCTACCACCCTCGAAAACATTTCCCAATCAGTTGGTTTCTACTGTAATTAATTTTCACAGATGTTCAATACAATCCATATATTTGATAAATATTCATTCTAGGCAACGACATATCAACAAATGTTGACTATGACATTGTTGAATCATTAAGGTGGGCTTGGAGTGGAAAACACTCAAAGTTGAGGCCAGGGAAACCTAAACACCATCCTACTCACTGCTGCCAACCTCTAAAACGTCTCACATATAGGTTTCTATCTACTGTAATTAATCTTCCACAACTATTCAATAAAATCAATATAATTTATAAATATTCACTCTAGGCAACGATATATTAACAAATGTAGACTATGACATTATCAAAGAAAACAAAATATTCCTCATTACACATACAAAACCAGAACTAGTTATGTGCTGTCCAAACATAAATGGAGACTTGAGAGGAGTAGTAGACTACGCATAACATTACCAAGTGGTAAAATTGTACTCAATTATGCTACATCTAATTATTTAAACATTGATTTAAACAAATTGCACAAGGCACATTTGCATGTAAGAATGTTCTGCTTCTTAAACTTGATCTTCTAGATGGTAACCGAAAGTTATCCAACCAACCAACCAACCAACTATTTAATATAGGCACTATTTATTAGAAATTATGTTTAAATAGTAGTAATAAAAGACCCCACTCAGTGGGATAAGGCGTTTGTTGTTGTTGATGTCGTATTATGTTTAAATAGTAATAATTAAAGAGAAATAATAATTTCCTTTCAAAAATCCAAATAGATGACCGGACAGTCGAACACATATAGCATGCTTTAAAGCACTACGGTATACTTATTTCCCTGTTGTTTTACTAAAGCATTTCTTATTACCTGCATTATCTGCTATAATTTTACTTGAATTTCTCAACAATTAGGAGTTACCTACATTATGTATTGCCTCAATCCACAAGAATAATCGTTGTTTGACGGAACAATGAAGCATGTCTTAAAGGCAAAAAAATACGTGGAAAAAAAAAAACTTCAAAGGCATGCATACCTTACTAACAGGGACATAAGTCCGGAATATCCAAGGAAAGTTTGAAAAGCAGATCCAATAATTACAGCCCCTTGCAGCTCCTTCATTATATGTTTGAATTTCTGAAAAATTGATATAGAACATTATCAGCAATCTTAGTTTCAATTATTTCATCAGAGAAGATTATAGCATACATTTTAAACACGTAACATATCATGAACAACAAACAACAAAACCATTAATAAAACCAAAAATGTCGGTAATTTGGAAAAATAATGTGGACAACAATTGACATAGACATTATCAGAAACATAAAAAAGAAGAAACTCAGAAATTTCATTTACTACTTGAAACTCCGGGAGAACAAGGGAAACCATTATAAATTAAACAACGGTATAGCCAACAATTAAAATCATCTAAAAACATAGATAAGAAATACATACATTTCCATTTAATCCTTGAAATTCGGGCGCGTTGATGATCGCCAAAACTGGAGCCAGATAAACAAAAGAAGGCCCTTGTATCAATGGCAACCTAGACCCAAAAATAGTATGCAAGAGTGTAGTCACTCCAGACATGAAGAACACAGTTGATACCATAGTAGAAGTATCCTCCTATAGCCCACTAACACAATCAGAAAACAGTATTCACATAATAATATAAACTAAATCAAAAAAAAAAAAAAAAACACTCACATGAGTACCTCCCATTGCAGGAACAATAACAAGTGGAATGAGAATCAATGAACCTAATATAGAAACATAATGCTGAATACCATACACACCGATCGGAACTGAATCATCCATGAAATAAAACAAAAACTCATCAGCATGAATCAAAATTCTTAACCTAAGTGAAAACATAAGCAATGTATTAACAATTTAATAGTATTAGAGTTTAATTACTATGCACCGTGTAAAAAGTCGTTTCATCACAATCATCCATTTGCATTATTTTATAGGTGGTTAAAATAAAAATCGAATTTCTCTCAACATCCAACGACTATGATGATTAACTAACACTGTAAAACCAATTGGTGCATTTCAATTAAATTCATAAGATTGTACTATTAGTATTACTATTATTGTGTTTACCTAAACCAGGTGAATCTCTAAGCTCATACTTCATATGTGAATGCCTTGACACAAATTCATCGTCATCCACAGTCTGCGGCAAGGAACCAACAGCTTCATCGGTCCTCGCAGTTCTCCGAACCGGAAGTTCCGCATTGGTCTGACCAATGACACTCGGAACTCCATCAGAGTCTCTCCGCTTCTTCACTACCAAATCCTTAGAAGGTAGAACTTTCGCCACACCATTTGTCACCGCCGGAAGAGGAAGAGCTCTACCACGGCCAGCTTCAAGATCCGAGCTCACGTCAGGCTCTCTGGACTTAACCGGCAAGCTTATCTGACCAGAATCACCGGCATTGGCCTCGCCGGAGAATTTCGGCTTAAAACCTGTTTTCTTCGCCCATGAAGAAGGTGGAATCGGTTTACTCTCCGGCGTCGTCGCTGGTGACCATTGTACTGAACGTTGGCGAGGTTTGGGATCGGGTTCGGACATTGGTGAAAAGAACCTAGTGGCGCATGATAGCTTCAACTGTCACAGATCTGAGTGAGGGAGTGAAGGTTTAGGGTTTTACTGAACACTATCGGAAGAGAAAAAGCTATGGTGGAAAGAAAGAGAGCGCCAAAATGTGGTTAGTGAGAATGGCAATGACGGATATTTTTATTAATTTGATAGATTCGTTTTCGTTTTTGTGATGTTATTCATTTCTCCATGAGTTTGTGTTCTGTGATACTGCTAAGTGGTAACTCTTGTAAAACTACTGGTAACAAGATACTGCTACTCACTGTGCATAAAAAATATTTAATTAGGATTTTAAAATCTTTTTTATTATAACTCTTATTAAATTTAGATATTTGCAATATATTAAATTAAAATAAATGGAGCATAAAATCTTGTTGTATTCAACTAAAATAATTGCATTTAAAAATATATATATTCTGGTATTTAAAAAACATAATAGTTTTGATGGATTTAATCTATAACTATTTTTTTACCAAATTGTGTCAAAATTAATGTTATATAAAAGTATTTTATAATGTTAATCTTTGTATATTTTGATTACATAACATATTAAATAGTCGTATATTTTGATTTATATAATAATATCTTTTAATTCAATTGTTAATTTTTAAAAATATTTATTTAATAGAAGGTTATTGAGTGGCCTTAATTTTTTATATAACTTTCTCAAGTTAACTTGATCTCTCCTCTTAATTAAATTAAAAAATGAAATATTTATGAAATTTTAAAAAAAAAATTAAGAAGATTTTGTGATTTTATAAGTGTCTATTATTTTTTATTAAAAACTCCATAAAACAAAATATCATAGAAGAGAGAGGAATAAACCACCGATCCATAAAAGGAATAAAATATAAAGAAAGACAATTATAACCTATTTTATACAAAGTCCTTTATAATGTTAATAGGAATATACTCAAATTTTATTAGAGAAATCAATGAAAATGGAAAATAGAAAGAAAAAAAAAAGTCAGTACATGAGTTCTCTTCTTTATAGATGTGAGAAATGAAAAAGTGTCTATATGTAAAAGAAGAAAAAAAGCATACAATTGTTCCATTGTTTCTTACTTGTTAAGGAATCAAAGATTATTTGTAGAAGGGTTACATCACAATTTTAGAATCAATTTTAATGCAAAGCTTTATCTAATCCTTTTCCATTGCAATCTCGGTGGTCCTAAAGACGGCAAAGAACTCGATAAGAGTTAAAGATGACCAAATGACTTGATCAGCAAAGGCTTTGCTAAGACGAAGTTTCCATGTTTATCTCAAAAATTCCACCAAAATCGGTCAGAAAGAGATCATGATTGTAAGCATCGTCACAATTTCTTTTTATCGAAATAATAGGAGTAGGATGTTATAGTACTTCTATAATTTAAGAAGCTTTTGGAGGTTTTATGGGGATATTGAAAGTCTCTGTGATTTTAAAGACATCTATAAAGGAATATGAGGTGGTGGAGGAATTAGCCCTAATCAATGGCACATGAGCTTTATATTGAATACAGATTGCATGACATTTGGTATGTGATTTCTGAACTTGGCTCAATTTGTGAACTTGGGATGTGAATACAGATGGCAGCTTTTAGGACCAAAGAGCATTGCTTCGACCAGCTTGTAGTGCAAGCAATCCACCAATTTTCTAATGTGCTTGGAGTATTGGAAAATCTGATTGTGTTATAGAATCAAAGTCATAATTTATTGGCAAAAGAGAAATAAAAAACAAGTGTTTAGTTATCGTTCTCGTTGGTAATTTGTCAAACAATACATTTGCACCATGTATTAGGTGAAGGGAAAAGCCCCAACATTTTGCCTTCTCGTGTATGCCATTCCACCTTGAAAGTGGTGCAAAGGGTGAGGAAGTCCCTTAAGTTTTTGTTGGCATTTTCGTTGAGCCTTTATGCGAATTAAATTTATTTCAATTTATGGAATAGTATTGGGTTAAAGTTAAACTTTATTGTGGTTGCATGCTTATTTACCATTATTAACTTGTCCATGTCCAATGCACGTCCTCTAAAGTCCTTGAGTAATTTATATTTTGACATAAGGACTATTTTTGTTCTTGTTGAATTTGTTTCATCTCGTTGTTTGAGTCCAATTATGTGTCTTACTATTGTCTGCTTGTTTCATCGGTTTCTCTCAATTCCCTTAATTGAGCTTCCTTCTAATTGGCACATGGTTTTTTCCATTTCTACGTCAAAGAGAAGTTCACATGAAAAGCAATCTCGCATACAAGGTTAGACAATAATGAAATAAAAATTATAGTTAATTTAAAAATAAAAGTGTTCTATTGCGGAACTAGAAATGGTGATGATTGCATAAACTACGATAGAACAAAGCTTCTGATGTACTGCATTGATGTGATAATGTGGATCAAATTTTGTGATCATGGTACTTCTTGAACTAGAGGTATCAGTATTGATGCAGTGTTGTGGACCCACGTTACTATATCTGATACGGTGTACTTAAGGAGGGGTACCTGCATGGTTAGCATTTCAGCGCCCAAGTCAATTTAGGGTTCAAGACCGAAGGTAGTAGAAGTGGATATTAGATATTGTATACCTTAGAACCCTTTACGAAGGTATTTATACCTTGGTTCTGACGGAGTAAGCTAGGTAATGGGCCCTGTGCTATTGGACCTTTGGTCGACACGGAGCAGTGGGTTCCGGTTCTTTAGCCGATACGAAATAGATGCCCCTAAGGCTCGTCAGACATGTATGATGTTTAGGGAGCCTTTAAATAATAGTGGTCAGCCTCAAAGGAATTTTATCCAGTCATTGGTCGACATGCGCTGCTCTGTTTTTACCAAAGCGTCAGTGTTGTACCCCAAAATTTGCCCTCTTATTTCATCAATATTTCTCATCACAAGACTCTTGGAATTCAAGATCAAGCTAGGATTTGCTCTACTCAAGACACCTCCTTGCACTGTTGACCTAAATTAGGGTTTGAGTTTGCACAGGGATGTTTTGACCTACAGTGCCCAATTTGACTTTCATACTTCATATTGGACTCACAAGTTTGTCCATACCAAGTTTCAAGCCTTGATTCAAATTTTTGCCCAGTCAATTGAACAGTTGACCTAGAAATCAACTGTATTGGGGAAAAAGTCAACTGTGGCCAATTGACAGTCAAACCTCATGAATTTTGACCCACATCAACATTATGAACTCATATGAACCATTTGATCAAGTTTGGATCACAATTCCACAAGAAATTTGATCAGATCACCAAAAGGGCAAAATGGTCATTTTTAGGGGTTTTGACTGTACAAAGGCAATTTTTGACTGTTTAACCTAACCAATGGCAAATCAAGCTCAATCGTGGACTCAAGGACTCAATTACATTATCTTGGTCCATTCAACAAGTTCAAAAGATCTCAAATGCATAGGATTGACAGATGAATTTTTCAATCAACTGATCAAAATTTGACTGTATGCTGAAAAGTCAAACTTTGACTTTTTGGTCAAAACCAAGTGCCAAGAGTCATTTTTCATCAAGACATGTCAAATTATGAAACTTGTCCATCAAGAAACCCAAAAATGCAAATTAGGGTTTAAAATGGGAAATTTTCATAACTTAGAAAATTTCTAAGTTATAAAATTTTCTTATTTTTTCCTAACTTTGTCCCATTTTTTCACCAAGATGAAAGTGGATTCAACAAAACTTACAACATAAAAGTTGTAGTCCATCACAAAGTCTACAACTTTGATTCACAAAGTTTTCTCAAAAGAAGCTTGTATCTCAAGTTATGATTTTTGGAACAAGGGTACCTAAAACTTTTAACTTAGAGAAATTTTGCCCTAGTTTAGGCAGGATTTTGACCCATCTTCTTGGCCATTTTTCACATAGTTCCACTTGGAGTTTCAAGTTGAATTTCAAATATGAATTATAGTACATGTTACAAGATTTCCAAATTATCCAAGAACTCCTCAAACACCTTTGTGGTTAGGGAGAATCGAATGCTTGAAGTTGGCAAAAACTCACTTTGAAACCATGGCCAATACATGTTCATACCAAGTTGCAAATCTGACCAAACTAGCTTAGTACATGATTACAGGCCTCTAGACCAATTTACACTCCAAAATTTAATGCAAATATATTGGATATTGGCATTGTTCTAATCAAGAGAGCTTTGTACATTGAACTTTTCCATTTTGAACATGAAGGCCATACTTCCATTTTCATAAAGGCCACTTTATGTCAATTTCCATTTTCTTGAGACTTGGACTTTTTTCCTTGCAGCAAACAACTTCCCTAATCTCAGGCATAGTACACCAAGTTGAGCATGCTTGTAACTAGCCTGTACAGGCCCTAGCTTGGACAGTTCACAACTTTGCTTTCAAAACAAGTCAAATGGCCAAAAGCTCAGAACTTGCACATCTGTTATATTGAACTAAATAAAAGTTTTAAAACAAGTTTCATACAGCCTCACAAGTCAGAAGCACGGGCCTTTCACCCCTAAAGCATCCTCATACTCCAAAACCCCATTTTCTTGCAAAACAGGGCCAGTTCTGCATTTTGCAAGCCATCATCAAATTCCATCGTGTGTTTTGTCCAAAGCTACTTCAAACACCTTCCAACCAACATACCTGAGCTATCCAGACCATCCACAAGTTGTTGTAACTCCATTAACACACATTGCCATTTTTGTTTGGAAGCTTTGCAAGTTGAGTTCTGTAGCACGATTCAGGCTACCTCAAAATAAGCCAAGCATTGGGAAAGCTTCGTTGGACATCAGGCAAGCTCAAAAGAACCTCAAGCACTCTTGGAAGTTGCTGCATTGTCCAGCTCGAAGTCAACTGAAACAGGTATTTCATGAACTTCTATCTCTCTATTTAGGAATAGTTAGACTTAGGTTTGTGAATGAAAGATGTTGTACTCATAGCCCTGAAACCATACATGTGCTTAGTTTTCATTTATATTAATCGTGCTAGGAGAATTTTGTTCATGAACTTTCTGAAAAAACTAGGTTAAGAATTAGG